AATAAATAAATAAATAAATAAATAAATAAATAAATAAATAAATAAATAAAAAAAAACCAGACCTTGTCATTGGAAGACACAGAAAGTGAGCAAACATTTTGTAACGCAGACGCCTGCATCCACAGAACGTCCCCACAGCCAGGCTTCCCTGGCGCTCCTTATCTTTCCTGCATACATTTTTTTTCTGCAGGTGTAACACAAAGTTTCCTTCACTTCCGTTTCTGTGGTGTCTGTCCTTCAGCGATCTCACACACACCCTTTAGGCAGGAGCCTAGTTTTCTTTCAAGAATACAAGATCCGTCTTTCTCTACTTTATTCGAAACCCAGAGGTTGAGCCTGCGACCCGCATGGGCGGGGACTCCAGCTCCGCCCCCACCCGCCCTCGCGCTCCTTAATGCCCAGCTCCAGGGATCTGGAAGGGTTCCTGCAGCCGGCGCGGATCTCCGCCACTGGACCGGGAATGCGGAGTCCAGGACGGGTAGAGCGACCGCTGCCTGCGCATCCAGTCCGCGGCGGTTGAAGCCGGTGTCGCCGGCGAACCGAAGCAGCGGCTCATGGACACAGCGGGGTCCCCTGCTCCTGCGGGGACAGGAGGTGACCGTGATCAGCGCAGTCGCGCGCTGCCACTGGCTTCAGGCCTTTCTCTTTAAACTAGGATCCAGTATGCTTAGCTTTGCTTTTATTCCTCCCCTATTCTGAGACCTTCAACCAGGGTAGTGCCTGACCTGTCTACGCAGTCCACGCCAGCGTTTCTTTTCTCCGGTTTGGGAACTGCATATGCATATATGCTCTGCTTTTTAAGTAGGGTGTTTCAGAATGCCTTCAAATTACCACCGTATATCAGGCCTAAACTGTTTTCTTTGGTCTCGGGGTGTTCCCTTGCCTTCTCCTTACGTTTAACGTTCTCTCGTTTCCCTTCTTCAACTCGGGCATTTATAAAGAATTCTTGAGACTTTCTCATCTTGCACAGGAGTTTTCCTCCGGGCCTACAGTGGCTACCTCTGGAAAAGCAGCAGATCAAATGCATTTTCTTCTTTTTTGTTTCCCCCTCAGAATCATTCAATTTTAAAACGGCTAAGGAATCTGCTTGGACATTTGAAACTGAGTGATTGATTGGTTCTTTGACAGTTTAAATATGGGAACAAATGCTTAACGAGTTGATGCAAAAAAACTAGTAATTAGTGTTGCAAATGACTTGGTAATGACCTTCTTTACATACTCGTGAGTCATGCCTTTCCAGAATGTTAAAGTTCACCAATGATATGACTGGTAGAGAGCTAACATTCCCGTTTTTAAACGTTTAAATCCTGATTGAGTCTATGTAGCAAGTCTCAATACCTTGAGAAACTGAGACATCTTTAGAGCCTGATGCTGCTGTTGACAAAGCATGCTGTACTCATCATTGGAGGGGATTTCTGTCTCACTGGAAGTCAAGGTAGACCAGATGGCTTATTTTCTGGACTGAAATTCTAACAGAAGAGCCTATGCATGAAAACAACGTTTGAAATTTGTAGTGATGTTCCAGGGTTGTTTTGTTGGGTCATAGCGGCTATATTTAGAATAGCCTTTTAGCTCAGCAAGTGTTTTCAGAGTCTAGTAACGCCACAGTAAAATGTCACTTGTGTGTTTTATTCAGAATCCCAAGTACACCCCTATAATAGCTGTCTGCTTGCCTTCAAGGGGACGGCTTTGGAGGAAGTACAAGAGAGACATCCGGGAGACTTTCAAGAGAACAGATTTACGTACTGGTGTCAGCAGCTTCCATGAACTTGGGTTGCATGATGGCCTATTCCATCCTTGGACCATTTTTTCCCAAGGAGGTAAGACATTTTTGTATCCATATAAACTAATTTCTAGAAAGCTCTTTAGTTATCTAATTTTAAGGGTATGAATGTAAGAGGATGGGGAGGGGGCGTGGCTCAGCAGTTCAGAGTGTGTCCTGCTCTTCTAGAGGACCTGAGCTCACCCAGCAGCCGCATCAAGAAGCTCATAATTATCCAACCATCCTTAGCTCTAGGTCCAGAGGAATCTGGTGCCTTTGGCCTCCGTGGACACCTCACATGTAAATATCTCCATCTAGACACTTATGCACACACACATAATTAAAATTTTTCAAAATAAATAAAATATAAAAATGTGCCTACAGTATAGATACTATGTGTGTGTTGCATAATGATGTGCATGCTGTATGTATGTGTGTGTTGGGGATGGATATTAGCCCACTTATGCACAGAGGTCAGAGATCAATGTCAGGCATCTTCATTAAGACATGGTCTCTTACTGAACTTGGAGCTCACCAGTTCAGCTTGACAGGCTAGCAAGCAAGCCTCTGCCTCCACCCCGCAGGGCTCCTTTTAGAGATGTGTGCCTCCATTCCCCTCTCCCCTTCCGGGCTGCTATTACAGATGTGTGCCAACAAGCTCAGCGTTTTATGTGGGTCCTGGGCATTTATGTGGGTTCAGGTCTTCTGGGTTACACAATCAGCACATTACCTAGCGTCATCTCCCTCGCTCTCTTCCCCTGCCAAAAAAATATTTCTTAATGTTTAATATCAGAAAAAAAGAACATCCTCTTGCTGGGTAATTCCCAAAATAGACTTGACTTTCTACATATTATTTATTTTACCATGAAGTTTGATTAATCTTTACTGGGCTTCTAGAGATGAAAAAAAGATTCACCAAATGATCAGATACCAATGTTGCCAAAAGACTATACCTTTGTATGCTGGTTTGGGGAATATATATATTCCCAAACATAAATAGAATTGGATTGTTTGTAGCCAAGTGTGGTGGCTCACACCTTTAATTTGAGGACTCAGAAGGCACAGGCAAGCGGTGGATTCTAGGAATTTGGAGGCCAGTCTGGTCTATAAGTGAGTTCCAAACAGCCATGGTCATGCTGTCAGAATCTGTCTCTGAGGGCGGCGTAGGCCAGGAGATTCATTCTGAATTTGTTATGCACTGCAGAAGTAATATTTACACAAAGGAAGGAACCTGGTTAACGTTGCCAGGCTCCCTCTAATCTTTGCCCTTTGCGCGATTTTAGGAACTGTAGCTGGTGGCACGGAGATCCACCAGGAGTATGCAGTCCATGCATGTAATACGGATTGAAGGGAACTAGTTTGGACGAGTTCAGACAATATGTCCACATGTTTATTTTGTGCATCTCGCCAACATTTCGGTCCGCAGGACACTGATAACTTCTCAGTTCTCAAACTGCCTTAACAGCATGCCATCCTTCACTCAGTGTGCTAACAGAGAGGCTTTTCTGCTAAAGGAACAACGTGGCTCCATACCCATACAACACTCACGGTTTCCACCACATGTTGCCACCCATTTGGTGCCCGCAGCCATCCCACGAGGAGAGAGAATAGCGAGGCTCCCACTGTGTTACTTTAAAATAGCGGTCTCAGACGTGAAGGGCTTTCCCAGTTAGTCCAGTTTCACTACAGGGCTAAGTTCCTACTCTGGGTTCATGGAGTTGTAGATATACCCAGGCAAAGAAAAGCCAACAAGTGTCCCTGTCTTCTTTGTTCCTTACGAACCAAAAATAGGAGAAAAGGACGGGAGGAAAGAAGGAGGAGAATCGAGTCAGATTTGGGGTATCCTTTAAGGTAAAGGTGGTCAGGAGTGATGGTGCTGAAGGAGGGAGGGATGATTGCTTCACTCTCCTTGGGCAGAATCGAGCCAAGGAGAAAGGCGTGGTACTGAGACTTTTTGAGGTGAGATGAGGTGTGGTGTGAGAAAGAGAAGCTTCTACGGTAAATAGCAGAGAGGAGTGTGCCATTGCAGATGTGGTCGGGGAAGAGCAGAGTGGATGGCATATTTATTTTGTTTTGTTTTGTTTTTCTTTCTTTTTTGGTTTTTCAAGACAGGGTTTCTCAACCCTGACTGTCCTGGAACTCACTTTGTGACCAGGCTGGCCTTGAACTCACAAAGATCCGCCTTCCTCTGCCTCCCTGGACTGTATGCTCAGGAGTTGCTCGATGGGAGAGCATCAGAGATTTGGGTTCTGTGAGAAAAATAATGGATGGGAACCCCTAAGGCAGCAGTTTTCAACCTCCCTAAGGCTATGACCCCTAAGGTAGTGGTTCTCAACCTCCCTAAGGCTATGACCCCTAAGGTAGTGGTTCTCAACCTCCCTAAGACTATGACCATTTAATACAGTTCCTCATGTTGTGGAGAACTCCCCAACCATAAAATTATTTTCATTGCCACCTCATAACTGTAGTCATGAATTGTAATGCAAATATCTGATGTGCAGGATATCTGATATGCCTCCCATGCCAACGAGGTCCTTGAGAACCACCTCTCTAAGGTCCTAGACTGTGTCTTAGTTAGGGTTTCTATTGCTAAGATGAAAGAGCATGACCAGGAAGCAAGCTGGGAAGGAAAGGGTTTATTTGATTTACACTTCCACATCTGTTCATCACTGAAGGAAGTCATGTCACGAACTCAAATAGTGCAGAAACCCTGAGGCAGGAGCTGATATTGAGGCCATGGAGGGGTGCTGCTTACTACCTTGCCTCTAATGGCTTGCTTGGTCTGGTTTCTTATAGAACCTGCTTAAGGGTGGCCCCATCAATCACTAATTAAGAAAATGCCCTACAGGCCTGTCTATAGCCTGATTTTTTTTTTTTTTTTGAGACAGGGTTTCAGTCCTGGCTCCTGGAACTAGCTCTTTAGACCAGGCTGGCCTCAGATTCACAGAGATCCACCTGCCTCTGCCTCCCGAGTGCTGGGATTAAAGGCGTGCATCACCACCACAAGGTTTATAGCTTGATTTTATTGAGGCATTTTTTGAGTGCTCTGTCATCATGTACATCTACAGGCCAGCAGAGGGCACCAGATCCCATTATAGATGGCTGTGAGCCACTGTGTAGTTGCTGGGAACTGAACCCAGGACCTCTGGAAGAGCAGCCAGGGCTCTTAACCACTGAGCCATCTCCCTAGCCTCTGAGGCATTTTTTTCACTCATGGCTCCTTCCTTTCCACTCTGGCTTGTGTCAATTTGGCATAAAACTAGCCAGCACAGAAGGGGAAAACCAACAGAAAGTCAGTTTCCCCGTGGCCTCAAAAAGCATAGTGACGTCTCTCTTTTCTCCAACAAGCAGTTCTTCTGTAGTAGCCATAGCAGTGCCCTCTAATTCAGGACAGCCGTGACTGTCACTGGAGATATTGCAGTGCCAGGACTGCCCCCTGCCTTCAAATGCCAGCGGCAGATGCCATGTCTAACTTGGATCTTGTGACTGACTGACTATAAGTTAGAGTGCATACATCCTTCTTGGATTCGATTGATTTATTTAATTGGCCACAGAATCCAGGGAAACATTAAGGGTGTGGATTTATTACACATGAGGTAATGCACTGGGTGACAAGTTGTGCATTAGGAGCATCCCCATTTCCAGCTGTGTAGAAACTCTGAGCCCTGTGCCTTCAGGGCCTTGTAGACATGACAGTTTATGGACTGGGTGTAGAACGTCAGTCACGCATGACAGTCAGGTTCTTTTTTGTTCTCTTTATAATATTCCTCCCCTCAGGGTATGAGACAGAACCCTCTGGAATGAGAAGGTCTTATAACCTGTTAGTCAAGCTAGATGAGAGGTACAAGCCAGGACTATACCGGTAAGATGGCTCCGTTGGTAAAGGCACTGAGTCCCTTCCCTTAGACCCGTGTGGTAGATGAAGAGAACTGATTCTGCATGTTGTCTTCTGACTTCTACATGTGTGCCATGGCATACGCATGTCCACACACACACACACACACACACACACACACACGCGCACACACACACACACACAGTCAGTGTAATATCATTTTTAAAAAACAAAGCCTGTGTATTATAACATTACAATAAGATGGATACATATAATTCATTTTGTGTCCCAGTTCCTGGCCCATAACTCTCACACTGCTTACATGGGAAGGGATGGAGAAATTGTATTTCTTAAATTCCTGGCTGCAGGGGCTGAGGAGATGACTCAGCCGGTAAGAACACATGTTCTGCAAGCATGAGAACCCGAGTTTAATTCTCCAGTGCCCAGGCATAGCCCCAGGCGTAGCCGTACATGCCCTGTAACCCAACACTAACAGGCAAAGACAAGGAATTTGTTTTTTTTTTTTTAAAGATTTATTTATTTATTGTGCATACTGTGTTTGGTCTACATTTTGTCTGCACACCAGAAGAGGGCATTGGATCTCATCATAGATGGCTGTGAGCTACCATGTGGGTGCTGGGACTTGCAATCAGGACATCTGAAAGAGCAGTCAGTGCTCTTAACCTCTGAGCCATCTCTTTAGCCCAAGACAGGGAGATGTTAATGACTCACTAGTGAGCCTCATTTAGCCGAATGCCAAGCTAGTTCAGCAAGAGACCCTGTCTGAAGGCCATGAGGAGAGCAGGAGCAGAAGACACCAGTGTCCTGCTCTGGCCTCGTATGTAGGCTCCTATCTGAATGCACCTGTGTAGTCTCATGCTTGTGTATTCACACACACACACACACACACACACACACACACAGACTGTGGTTAGAGGAAAAAAGGAAAAGAAATGCAACCGTGGCTACTGTAGAGAACACACTTTTAAAATATGAATTATGTACTGGGAGGTGGTGGTGCGCGCCTTTAATCCCAGCACTCGGGAGGCAGAACCAGGAGGATCTCTTGATTTTGAGAACAGCCTGGTCTACAGAGCGAGTTCCAGGACAGGCTCCAAAGCTACAGAGACACCTTGTCTCAAAAAATCAATATATATGTGTATATTTTAAAGATTTATTTATTTTATTTTTTGCATGTTTGTATGTGTACCTCATACATGCAGTCCTTCAGAGGCAAAAGAGGGTAGATTCTGTAACGCAAATTCTGTTTGGTCTTAATAAACAAAACCTGGAGTCAGATATTAGGAGGTGAAAGCTGAAGGATTGGAGAAGCAGTGCAGCCAGCCACTGGAGATAGCTTTACTTCTCCTAAATCCTTATCTGAAAATGTGATCCTGTTCTCAGACTGCACCTTTTGCCACCAAACCTCAGACTGCACTGAGTTCCTATTTCCTCCTGCCTTATATTCCTCTCTCTGCCTGGCCATATCACTTCTGTCTCTACCTCCCTAGTGCTGGGTTTAAAGGTGTGGGATCCCAAGTGCTGGGATCACCTTTGTGTGAGCTCTCTTTCTTTCAGACACCTTCAATCTAGTGTAGCCCAGGGTGGCCTTGAACAAACAGCAGTTCCTCTGTCTCTGTCTCCCAAGTCCTGGGATTAAAGGTGCGCCGCCACTCTCTGCCTTCTAGTGGCTTAGCTCTGCACTCTGATCTTCAGGCAAGCTTTATTGGCTAAAACACAAACCAAATATCTACAAGGTTCCCTGGAACTAAAGTCATGGATGGTTGTGAGCCATGCAAGAGCACCAGCCGCTCTTAACTGCTCATCTGTCTGCCCAGACCCAAGGATGCATTCTGGAGGGTTTTCAGGTGTGTACACCTGTGTAGAGTTGACGCTGTGACAAGAGGACGAATTAAAACCACTCGCCTGCCCATAAATACTCATGGCTAACATACAGCCGGACACAGAAAAGTTGTGTAGAAGTGACTGCTGACTCAGAGGACAGCCTCGTGAGGGTCAGGCTTCACACTCTCAGACCAAGTTGAATAGTTCATCCTTAAAAATTGTTCCTTTTTTTTTTTGATACAGGGTTTCACCGTGTAGCTCTAGATGGCCTAGTATTTGCTATGAGACCTGGCTGGCCTCAAACTCACAGAGATCCCTCTGCCTCAGCCTCCTGAGTTGTGGAATTAAAGGTGTGTATCACACGCTCAGCTAAAAGCATATTTTAACCCTTCAATGGATACAGCAATAGCCCAATGTGGCGATCTGAGGCAAGAGAGGGAAAATTAAGGGCACATTTGCATGGCTCTTGTAAAGACAGGTAGAGTACGCCTCTCTTGAGAAGCACACGACCACATCTGGGTGTGCACTAACCATTCATGAGTGCCTCTCTCCACCCCTCAGCTCCACCCTCTCTTTCTCTCGCCAGTGTCTATTCTTAAATCTATTTAGAATATAATAGACTCCATCTGTACCTCATACTAAGCTCCCACTTTGCTTCATATTGACTTGTCTATTTTTTAAAAAATAATTATTTATGTATTATTTAGACAGTGTTCAGTCTGCATGCCAAAAAAGGGAACCAGAGCAAATTACAGGTGGTTGTGAGCCACCATATGGTTCCTGGGAACTGAACTCAGAACCTCTGTAAGAGCAGCCGGTGCTCTTAGCCTCTGAACCGTCTCTCCAGCCCTTTGACTTGTCTTGAAATTCTTTCTCTACAGTGAAGTAAAGAATACGGGCTTCAGGCTGGGGACACAGCTCAGTTGGTAGTGTGCTTGTCTGGTGCGTACAAAGACCTGTCTTTGGACCCAAGCATCGTATGAACATCACATAAAGGTGATGGTTCAGGCCTATAATCTCAGTGCTTAGGAGACTGAGTTCTGCGGGAGAATCAGGAGGAATTCAAAGTCAGCCTCAGCTACGTAGCAAGTCTTAGGCTAGCCTGGGCTACACTGAACCCTGTCTCAAAAAGCCATAAAAAGATAATAAAGTAAATAGAAGCTCAGCTTCAGCTGAGTAGAGCTGTCTGAAAAGAACTTCCCAGGCTCCTATAGGGGGCAGCAGAGAGCTCTGTCAATGGCCGCTGCCACACTAGGGTTCATTGGGCAGCTACCTCACTGGGGCTCACAGGGCAGTCATACTTGCACAGTTAGGGGCTGAAGAGATGGCTCAGGGGTTAAGAACAACTTGCTGCTCTTGCAAGGGACATGAGATCAGTTCCCAGCACCAACATAGTGTCTCACAACTGCTTGCAACTCCACTCCCAGGGGACCTGTGCCTCCATAGCCTCCTGCACACATGTGGGACACATACCCACACTCAGACACACACATAAAAGTAGATTCAGAATAAGGGCTACGTCATCTGTAGCAAAGTTCAGAGGTCCCTGGTGGAACAGGCTATCTACGTTAATAATTCCTGCATATGGAGAGTAAGATACCTTGGGGTGTCAGGAGAGTGTGGGCGGTGGGGAGCCTCCTTTGTCTGCATTGCTCACAGGAAGGCAAACTCCTCCCAGGTTAAGCATGGCAGAAGTCATGGAGCAGATTGCTTGGGCCCTCACATGATGTGCATGACTCCATTTGCCATTCATGGCATTTCCTCTTCTTAAAGATTTTTGGTTTGGTTTATTTTCTTCGAGAACTGACAACTGGCATGTGATTCTTATTGCTTCTGTTTTTGGTGGAGTGCAATTCTGTAACTAAAAATGACATTAAAAAGGAAGTCAGTCACGTCAACTGCTTCCTGAGTCCCGTGACTGAAGGAAGAGTCCAGGTTTCTCATCTGCAGTAGTGTGTGTGTGTGTGTGTGTGTGTGTGTGTGTTAACATTCTGTAATACTGACTTTCATCCAGATAAAGAGAATTCTTCATAGGCATCCTAAGTGAATTATTTCACATCAGTGTCTAGATTTTACCATCCCCTTTCCTGATTTTCCTTACCCTACTTATTTTAAAATAAACCTTTTAAGTAACAGAAATAGGAAGGTTTGAGCAGAGAGATAGAGTAGGGGCAGGAGCAACCAAAATTAAGTATATGTGAAACCTCCTACTTGGTAAGTTAATATCTACAAAAAGAATGCCCATCCTATGGACATTGTAGTGCCTCCCCAAATCATGGGAATTACTATATGTACATGAAAGTCACAAGGTGCTGTTCTGACCCAGTTCTATTGTCTTCCCGCCACTGCTCTTTTGCTTTTTCAATTTTATTCCCATTTCTGCTTCTTCTAAGGCAGAAAAGAAGGGGGCCAGCAATACCATGATTGGAGCGATCTTCGGATGCTATGCTTTATTTGAGTTGCTGGCATCTTTAGTGTTCGGAAAATACGTGAGTATTGGCGTTCATATACATATTTCAACTTTCAAAAATCAAGTGGTATGTTACTGTAATTTACCAATCTAGAATGTCTATGTATATAGAAATGGTAGTGTTACATTTTTACGAATTATCATAAAAATATATGTTTATAGAAAAATACAGTTCTATCATGGTGGTTGATTAGTTAGTCCCTTCCATGTTTATATACAGTTTGTAGTACCATTTTTTAATTAATTAATTAATTTAATGCATTAACTTACACATGCTTTCCTGCAATTTTCTATGTTCTGATGTAGTGGATTTTATATATATGTATATGTTTACGTAAATGTAAACTTGCTGAAGCAATCCACTTATTGCTCTTCTTTGACTTTTATTATAGCTTGTACAGATCGGAGCCAAATTTATGTTTATAGCAGGGATGTTTATCTCAGGAGGAGTTACAATTCTCTTTGGGTAAGTAATTTTCTAATCTGTTAGGAAACATGGGCAGATTTCAGAGTTAACGGCTTTGAAGTTTTTCTTAAACTTTTATTGTTCTTTGTGTCTGATGGGGGTGCTGACTTGTGGGGGACAGAGGAGAGCACTGTGGCGTCATTCCTTCCGCTCCACCTTTACATGGATTCCAGGTATTGAACTCAGGTTGCCAAGTGTGTGGTGTGAGTACCTTACCCACTGAACCAGTTACTCACCCATTAATGGCTCTTTTTCGTTTACTTTGTTTTGAGAGACGGGGCTTCTCTGTGTAGTCTTGACTGTTTTTAGACCAGGCTGGACTAGAACTCACAGAGATCCACCTGCCTCTGCCTCCCGAGTGCAGGGATTAATGGCGTACTCTACCACCACTGCCCAGCAGTCAATGGCTCTTTAAACCCATCAATACCAATCACTACTCTTCTCAGATGAGTGACCTGTGAGTGGTGGAGGGAGGTGGGTAGCAAACAGAACTGTCGTTGACCTTAAGAAGAAAGCTCTCCAAGGTCACCTGCTAAGCAGCCTGCTGAACCAGACGTGGTGCTGCACATCTGGAATCCTGGCATTTGGGAGGCAATGGAGGAGAACCTCAAGTTGGAGGCCAGCTTAGACTATGCAGGAATACCATGTCTTTTTTTTTTTTTAAGATTATTTATTTGTTACATATACAGTATTCTGCCTGCATGTGTACCTGCACCCCAGAAGAGGGCACCAGATTTCGTTATGTGATGGTTGTGAGCCACCATGTGGTTGCTGGGAATTGAACTCAGGACCTCTGGAAGAAGAGTCAGTGCTCTTAACCGCTGAGCCATCTCTCCAGCCCCAGAAATATCCTGTCTTAAAACCGCAAAAGAGAGAACAGAACAGTGGCTCCCGAACTCTTCCACCAGGACTCCTGTGGGTGCTCATGATGGGAACTCAGTAGTCTTCTGAGTCACAGAGACTCTATTTCTTACAGGATCAGCCCAGGGACAACTGGCTACAGGTGCTGAAACAGCATCTTCAGAAATCTTTTTTAGCTTCCTGCTTTTCTCCTCTTCTGGTGCAATGTTCCTAGACGAACTCCCTAGACCCCTCCTTTTCTTTTGCTGTTTTTTTGAGATGGGGTATCACTGTGTAGCCATGAGGAGCCTAGAACTTGCTATGTAGACCCAGATGGCCTTGAACTCATAGAAATCTATCTGCCTAGGCCTGTGAATGCTGAGATTAAAGGTGTGGCCTTGCTCTTTCATATTCTCCAATTAGAAGTGTACTAACTGTTTGCGTAACATTTACATTGTACCAGGTTTCAAAAGTATCCAGGAAGTAACTTAAGGGCTATAAACACGGTTTCTGAGCAGAGTACTTCCCTACTACCATGGGTGAAGCCTTGAGTTTAACACAGCACCATAATACATCAGCAAATATTTAAAAGTAGAAATGCACTTGGTGAGATGAGCATTGGTTATCGCAAGCAATATATATATATGTTAGGGACTTGAGTATCTTCTGATTGTGATACTTAAGGTGGATCCTGCCATCATAGTCTTCTGCAGGTCCAGGGGACTTCTGATTTCCAAAGAGGTCTACTTAGTATTATCATATCAGAAATCTCAACAGAAGGGGGACAGCTAAGTTGTCGTTATGTCTCGAATTACAGCAGACATTAAAAACAGCAATTCCCTGTAGAAAGTGTAACCAACCAACTCTTTGGAAGATTTCCAAAGAGACTTTGTCTAATAACTTTGGCTAGTATGGCTGTCTTCAAGAAGCAGAGTGCATTAAAAAACGAGAACCAGTTTGACACTTGGCAATTGTGTTCTTTTTCAGTGTCTTGGACCAACTTCCAGAAGGACCCATATTTATTGTCATGTGTTTTCTGGTGAGAATAGTCGACGCCATAGGCTTTGGTGCAGCGATAACAGCGTCGTCCTCTATCCTGGCAAAGGCTTTCCCAAATAATGTGGCTACTGTCTTGGTATGTAATTTGAATTTTTTTCTTACTTTCCTTTTCATGTGGCCAAAACATTTGATTGATCTGTTTCTACGTGCTTTCCCCCACTCTCTTGTGTATTTTCCTCCTTTTATCCTGACTTCTATTTCCTGAAGTAAAGTGTGAAAATTAAAAGCAGAGCATTTCCGGGTGTGGTGACATATACCTGTAACAGCTTAGGAGGTGAAGGCTGGAGGATCAAAAGTTTGAAGCCAGCGTGGGTGACACAGTGAGTCATTTTCTGGAAAACAAGAACAAATAAATGGCGACCGTCTGAAATGTTTACCTAATTTTTTGTTTGTTTGTTTTTTCGTTTTTTGAGACAGGGTTTCCCTGTAGCTTTGGAGCCTGTCGTGAAATAAGCTCTTGTAGTCCAGGCTGGCCTCAAACTCACAGAGATCCGCCTGCCTCTGCCTCCCGAGTGCTGGGATTTAAGGAGTGTGCCACCACATTCGGCCTAATTATTCTTTATCAATAAAATCTTGGAAGTCAGATATCGGGGGTAATAACCTGAATGATCAGAGAAGCGGTTGAGGAGGGACAGGTGACCTCTTTCTTTCGTTCCTCCAACCAAAAGGGCCGAGACCCTCTCTAATTCCCGCCCTACTACTTCCTATCTCTCTGTCCTCAGTCCTCCAACACCTCTATGGTTAATTTTGGTCACCTAGTAGCTAGCTCCACCCTCTTATTCAAAACAAACTTTATTGTTAAAATGCAATCAAAATGTCATACGACAACCATCTATGACACCTCTACTGTGGGAGGAGAGGGTTTAAGAAGCTGGTGAAGCCTGGAATGCTGTCTCATGGCTTTAATTCCCAGACTCGGCAGGCCGAGGCCAGGTGTATCTCTGCGGCTGAGGTCAGATTGGTCCACACAGCAAATGCCAGACCAGTCAGGGCTACACAGCAAGATCCTGTATCCAAAGAGAGAAGTAAAAAGGCAGTGATCTCGAGTCTCTTAGATGCTCTTCCTGGTCTCTGCATAGGCACCTTGATGAGGAAACACTGGTCCCAACCAGTTTTTAAAATCACCCTTAAAATAATTTTTAAAGATTTGTTTTCTTTCTTAAGTGTTTGAGCGTTTTGCCTGCATGTATGTTTACGTACCACAGGTGTTCCAGGGCTACAGAAATCAGAAGAGGGAATCAAGCCCCCAAGAACTGGAGTTATGATGGCTGTAAGCCACCCTGTGGTTGCTGGAAACGGAGCTCAGGTCCTCTCCAGGGGCTCTTATCTACTGAGCCATCTTTCTAACACCATCCCCACCCTCAATTTTTTTTTAAAGAATCACTTTTCGCTCTTCTGAATAGCATTTTGCTGCCTTCCTGTGATCCCGTGAGTAGGTCCTGGCTGAACTGCCCATAGCTTTTCTCTCTTCTGGAAGTTTTCCCTCACGACAGGGGCTCGTCTCATGAGCCTCTTTCCTCTACTCTCTCCGCATGTGTGCAAGAGGTCCCAGAGGTCATCTTGAAAATGGTCAGAGCACTTCCGCCTCATCTGAGGCGTGCCGTCTAATTTTGACTTCACTGGCTTCTGCATGTGTCAGCCTGGTTGTGGGTCAGATTTTTCCACATAAAACTCGTTGACCTTTCAAAGAGCTGATGTTCTGGAGAACACCCTGGACAGTGCTGTCCAGGAAATCCCTACAGCAGTGGCCGTCATCCACTGACATTTGAGATTGGCAGGGGAAAGTAGACTTGCCCTATTGATCTTCCACATAAAGTTGCAGCCAAAGCCAACGTATTCCACATGTCAGTTAATCTCAAGGGCTCTGTGTACTCCGTGGATTTTAAGACTGAGATTGTTAGCCATGGGTGTATTTAAAGGTTTAAGGTGGTACAATGTCCTTAACAGTAATATCTTTTCCATAGGACTGTCTTATTTACCTTTAGTTAATCTTATGCAGCGTAAAAATAAAAAGTTATAAAATGGACCATATAATATAGCAAATGTTTGACATACCTTTGCTGTTCTGACTTCATATATACATCTGCTGTCCAGGCACCCAAGGGGCTCAGTATCTCAGGCTTGTTCCCAAGATTGCGTATCTGTGCATACACGCATGTATATATGTACATGCAGTGTCAGCATGATCCCCCCACTTCTTTTCTCTACACATGACATGGCATACTCCTCATACCGCTTAACAACTTGCTGATTATACCGACAAGTTCACAGGCAAGGTCTTCGGTGTCAATTTATAAAAAACCATTCTTATTCTTTCTTTCCTGGCTGTGTACAATTCCATTGTACTGATGTAAATCTTCTTTATTTAAATTGTTAGTAAGGATTTAAATCACTTGCATCTTTTTGTTTGTTTGTTTAGAGCACGGTCTCGCACAACTCAAGCTGACTAGAACACTCAAAAATTGACCTTGAACTTCTGGTCTTGTTGCCTATAATCTCTTTCTCCTGGGTGCTAGGATTGCACGTGGTGCCTGTCACCACACCTAGCTTGACCTTGCAAACAGTGTCACCACAACATTGTATTAACAAACGTTTGTGTGTGTGTGTGTGTGTGTAGGTGTGTGTGTTAAAAACCTTTTTTCAAGAAGTGCTCTCATAATTCCTTTTTTTGTTAAATTTTTTGAAAATTTCATACATAATTTCCATCCTGCTCTCCTCTTTAATTACTGTGTGTGTGTGTGTGTGTGTGTGCATGTGTGTACAGGTGTATGTATCTGTGTGTATATGTGTGTGTGTCTTTGTAAATACAACCTCAACCAACTGAGCCCATTTACTGTTGCTGGGTTGGATAACCTACCTATCAGGGGGCTCTCCCCTGTGGGAAACCGATTCTTGCTTTCTCAGGAGCCATTGATTGCCTATAGCTCTTCATCTGGGGATAAAATAAAGCTTTGTTACCTATCCCCATCCATGTGACTTGTCAGACTGAGTACTCATTGCTTACCTTGTTTAGGCGACAGTAGTGTTGAGATTTTATGGATGCAGCTTTCCTGTCGTGTGAAGAGGACATTGTCTGGCTGCAGCCGCCCTGAGCCTCTGGCTCCAGCTGTCCTAGGCCTCTGGCTTCTGCAGTCTTTCTGCCACTTATTCCTTGGTGTTCCCTGAGACTCGGTGATAGGTGCTGTGATGCAGGTGTGTCAGCTGGCCTTGAGCATCCTGCGGTCAGTTGGCTTTGCATTCTGACCACTTGTAGGTCACTGTAGTGGTCTCTATTAGCTCCAAAAAGAAGCTTCTTTGGTAAAGGGTGAAAACTACACTTATCCGGGAATGTAAGGATAAATATTTTGAATGTGGTTACAAAGTCTACTTGTTTGGGAAAATGGCAGTTAGTAGGGTTTCCTCTAGAGCCCATGAATTTGTCAGCCACAGGTAGGCTAGGTTTACCGTACCAGGCACTTTGAGACAGGATCTTACTATGTCACCCTGGCTGGTCTGGAACTCACAGAGATCCATCTGCCTCTCTCTGTTTTCCAAGTGCTGAAATTGAAGATATATGCTATCATGCCTGACAGTCATAATTCTTCAACTATAACACAATTAAATTTTCTTTTGTTTTTTCACTTTTAGGGGAGCCTTGAGGTTTTTTCTGGACTGGGGTTGATAGTAGGTCCCCCTTTAGGTGGCTTTTTGTATCAATCCTTTGGCTACGAGATGCCTTTTATTCTTCTGGGGTGCCTAGTTCTGCTCATGATACCACTCAACCTGTGTATTTTGCCTAGTTACGGTAAGTTCAAACTTTAATACTCATTTTAGAATTTTAGCTTTACTTTCGCACCTTTGTAAGCAATACATTTACCATATATTTTGTGTAACACTTCTTTGTAGGACCCTCAAGAACTGGTTCTGTTTCCTAAAATATGGGTAATTAGTTTATGATATTTTTAATGCAGCTCAGTTAGTGGAACACTTTTTTTTATCTTTGTTATGTTTTTTTTGTTTGTTTGTTTTTGTTTTTCGAGACAGGGTTTCTCTGTGGCTTTGGAGCCTGTCCTGAAACTAGCTCTTGTAGACCAGGCTGGCCTTGAACTCACAGAGATCCTCCTCTCTCCCTCTCAAGTGCTGGGATTAAAGGCGTGCACCACCACCGCCCAGCTCTTTCTTCTTTCTTTATTCCTTTATTTTTAGTCCGGTCTCTCTTCATAGCCCTGGGTAGGCAGACTTTCCTTTGCGCCTCCAGCGCACAAATAATGATGCGCAGACTCATTATTAATTATGAAACCTCGACCGATAGCTTAGGCTTGTTTCTCACTAACTCTTATAACTTAAATTAACCCATTTCTATTAATTTACGTTTTGCCTCATGGCTTTATTACCATCATCTCGGTATTGCCCATCCTGTTTTCTCTGTTTCTCCGCCCTTCTTTTTCCCAGTGTCCTCTGGGCCTGGAAACCCTGCTGAGCTACTGGCTGTTCAGCTTTTTATTAAACCAACCATAGTGACACACCTTCACGCAGGAATACTCCACAACAGACCTGGGTATCCTGAAATTCACTAGCTAGAACAGGCTGACCTTGAGCTCGCAGAGATCCTCTGCCTCTACCACTCCTAACTCCAGGCCAACTTTGTGTACACAGGGAATTCCAGGCCATCTGGGGCATAGCGTGGGACAGTGTGTCATTCTGTCATAAAACATTCATCATAGGAGGGCATGGCCAATTCTTCCTTTCCAGTGGGGCTTCACCTGTTCGTGTAGCAGTGACAAGGACACAGGTCTCTGGCAGCAGTGAGGGGAGACAATCTGGCTTCAAAGCTTTTATCCCCATATAAATCAACCTTCCAGCGTATTGTCATGAGGGTGCCACATGCTGGTAAGAGTTAATCAGTGCAAGGAACACAGAACACCTTGCTCCATTAGGTAATACTTGTGGCTCATTTTTAGTTCTCTTTGTCTGGATAAAATTTACCAACCAGAGTTATGTTCACTGTAAACATTGTTTTTAATAGGGTTGATCAATAGCATACACTTACGGGGTTAGTATTTAACAGAGCTGGAGAATTAGCGGAGAGCTGGGAAACGAGGCACAACAGAGGCAATATCACAGTGAGCCACAAGGGGGAGCTCATCATCTCAGCACTTGTAAGGAGCCGTTTGTTTCCCTTGATTTAGCATCGGGTCTGTGTCCTGGTTTGATGGATATTGGACTAAGAATTAAGAAGTTCTGGAGATGGAGATGGAGATGGCTCAGTGGTTAAGAGTACTGGCCACTTCTGCAGAGGACCTGAGTTCAATCCCCAGCACTCACACGGTGACTCCAGTTTCAGGGGATCCAGTGCTCTCTTCTGACCTCCTTGGGCACCAGTCACACATGTGCTGTGCATATGTACATGCAGGCAACACACACATATAAGATAAATAAGTTTAATTTAAAAAAATAGAAACATCAGATTAGATTCTGCACAGAAGAAAAAAAATTGTTAGCTCTTTATTGCAGTAGGAAATGGGAAAAGACAGCTAAGACAGACTATTTAAAAATAATAATAAAAAATAATTCCTAAGTCAATAACATTAGGGCTATAAGTCAAATCTGAATATTCCTGTTTAAGATTACTCTTTAAGTTACTGGTAAGTTTGATGCAGACAACATCTAGGAAAGTAGCCAAGTGTTTTTTACATACTGGCAGAATTAAGTACTGTATATACTCTCTCTGCCCATTCCTCCCACACCCATGGGCAGCGTTTGGTGTTGGGTGTCTGGATCCCTTGCTGCTCATTCTTCCGATCAGCTCTCCAGTTTCTGCCCGCTGTTATACTTGGGCAGTCGTGCATGCCAGTTCTCTCATTAAAACCCTAAGTCTGAGAACCTGAAGAGGTCTGTTTTACATCACGGTGACAGACAGACAGACCTATGTGGCCGTGGGTAGTTCCACCTTCTTTGTGGGTCTCATGCCACAAGACTGACACCTGTACCTGGAACGGGTGAGAACACCAAGGCCCCCTTATACCATGTTTTCATATATGCACATATACATATGGAAAGTTTAATTTAAAACTAGGCACAATTAAGAGATTAACAATAGGGGACTGCAGTGATGGCTCAGTGGTTAAGAGCACTGGTTGTTCTTGCAGAGGACCATGGTTCAAGTCCTGTAGTAAGGAGGCCACTTGTTCATCCTGGTCGCCCAGAACTGAAATAGCTTAGAACCGAAATAATCACACAGATAGTGTATTATTTAAGTCACTGCTTGGCCCATTAGCTCTAGCTTCTTATCGGCTAACTCTTACACCTTAATTTAACCCATCTTTATTAATCTGTGCATCACCATGAGGTTGTGGCCTTCCAGCAAAGTTTTAGCACGTCTATCTCCGGTAACTCCATGACTTCTCTCTGACTCCACCCTTCCTCCTCCCAGCATTCAGCTTAGTTTTTCCTGCCTAGCTAGGTTCTACCCTCCTATAGGTCCAAAGCAGTTTCTTTATTCATAAATGGTAATACAGAGGAAAATCCCACATCAAAGTCCCAATACCCACAAGGTAGGTCACAACCACCTGTAACTCCAGTCCCAAGATAGAGCATCTTCTTCTATTTTCCATACCAGCAACAATACATTACAGCCACGTGGCACAGATATACACACAGGCAAAGCACCACATACACATAAAATAAATAGATAATACGTAAAAAGAGATCAGCAATAATAATAAAGGTATAAAACAAATAGAACTACTATCATTAAAGTTATTTAAAACTTAGAAATTCTTTGTTTCTGGAATTTTCTACTTGTTATGTATTAACTATTTAATTATTATCATTATTTTGGTTTTTTGAGACAGAGTTTGTCTACGTAGCCTGATCATCCTAGAATAGGTTGGCCTTGAACTCAGTGATTCACCTGCCTCTGCTGGTGTTAAAGGTGTGTGCTGTTTATTATGTTATATAGCACTGTTGACAGTATGGAAATACAGCCTCAGAAAGCAAAATCATTGCACTTGGAAATTGCTAAAGGAGTCGATTATAAATGTTCTCACGACAAAAAAATTACGAGCGTTTGTGGGGTAAAGCGTAATGCATTTGATAAATACTTGGAATTACTCGTTCTGTTACACACCCATTCACACATGTGTACAAACATCACTGTCATTCACTGCTGAGTAACATAATTTTTACTTGTAAATTAAATTTTTTTTTGAGATAGGGTCTTGCTATGGAGTCCCCCATAACTCATTTTGTAGGCCAGGCTGGCCCTCCCGTCTCTGCCTGCAGCATGATGGGATTGCGAGCAGACTCAAAATCTAATCTTTATATCCAGGAAACAAGCGCCATCTCCTGAAAACCTTTCGAGCAATTGCTGGGTTGAAGGAGAGCTGTCACGTGGTGTGGATTTGGAACTCTTCCCTCCCTCTGCCCACTCAGCCTATGCCATCTCTGTCCTCTTTCCTATGTGGTTTTCTCAGACCTCCCCTTTGCAGGACAAGTTATCCAGGGGCATCACAATGCAGCTCTTCTTAATGGACTACCACACTTTCCTGTCTGTCACCTGTCAGGGCAGGTGTTCGTAAATCAGGGAGTTCTGTCTCGCCAAGGAGAATAATCCTACCAGGATCTGGAGGAACCTCGGGGATCCCAAGTACCCTTGGAATAGTCTGTAGATTTTCCTATGTTCTCCCCAGCAGGTTTCACTTAAACCAGGGAAGCACTCCTTTTCACGAGTGTTTTTGTACATTCTTTTATCTTAAATGTAACTATTTTGTAAGTTTACTTGTTTTATGCGTTTGAGTGTTTTGCCTGTGTGTTTCTCTGCACCCCATGTGCATTGTTGAGGGGATGGCACTAAGGTCCTGAACCCACAGTTCTCCAGAGAAACCGGGAATGTAAATCATACAGGATTGCCTTTCCAATGGGAAAGGTGAAAAACCTGTTCTTCTGTCCTGAATGCCGAGGAGAGAATTGGACATGATTAACAGTCTGGTGATCTGTGTTATCTGTTGGGGCAGGCCTTATCCAGTTCTGACAACCAGGCCAGAGGTGGCTGACACTCTACATGACCCTTATAAACAGAGGCTCCCCCAGGCTCCTACAACCAGGACCGAAGGCAGCTAATAGCCCAAATCAGTTCTATGCTATTTGTATGGGCAAGATCAGATCGGATCCTGAGGCTTTTAAACTAGTTCAGGCAGTGAACCTCTAGAGCCTGTCTTCCTGGAAGAAAGGACATGTACCCTGAGCTGCGTTTCGAGGTAACTGCACTTCCTGTGCGCCAGGAATTGTATTCATCCCATCAGGAAACGTTTATTTTCTTTCTTTTTCCCAAATTATCCTGGACTTAAATACATTGGGAATAAACCACCTGTTATTAGACTCCCCGAGTCTGATCCAGGTTGATGAAGTCAATCTGCACCGGGTTTTTGTTCTCATCCTTCATGTGGTTACCTGTAGGACACAGGTCAGCACCTGTGTGTCTACTGCCAGTGTCGACAGAGGTCAGAAAGAGGGCATCATATCCCCCAAAACCGGAGGTAGAGATGGATGTGAGCTGCCGTGTGGCTGCTGGGAACTGAGCCTGTGTCTTCTGCAAGAGCTGCCAGTTTTTTTTGGTTTTTCAAGACAAGGTTTCTCTGTAGCTTTTGGAGCCTGTCCTGGAACTAGCTCTTGTAGACCAGGCTGGCTTCAAACTCACAGAGATCCTCCTGCCTCTGCCTCCTGAGTACTGGGATTAAAGGCGTGCGCCACCACCGCCCAGCGTTCTTAACCACTGAGCGGTAGACTGTTAACAGGTCTTCCTGTTGTGCATGCACAAGAAATGTGATAGACTAAAAGTAAAATCTTCTATAGTTAAAAATTATTTTAATTTTAATTATTATTTGTTGTTTTTGCTGTTTTAACTTTTTTCGTTATTCAAGACAGGTTGTGTGTGTGTGTGTGTGTGTGTGTGTGTGTGTGTGTGTATCCCTGGCTATCCTGGAACTCTCTGTAGACCAAGCTTGCCTCGAATTCAGAGATCTGACTGCCTCTACCTTGATCGTGCTGGGATTAAAGGCATGCACCACCACCGCCTTGTTATATTACTATCATTTTAAATTATGTGTCTGGGTGTTAGTATGAGTGGCTAAGTGCGGATGCCCACAGAGGCCAGAGGCATTGGCTCTCTAGGAGCTGGAGCTACAGGTAGTTGTGAGCTACTATATGTGGGTACTGGAAACTGAACTCTGCTTCTCTTGCAGAGACGTGCTCTCAATGGTTGAGCCATCTCTCCAGCCCATCTTTTGTCATTTTTCAAGTCAAATTCAATACAATTCAAAACCCACACCTGGTTGACTCCCCGCTGGCAATATCTCGTCGTGCCACAAGGTGGCAGTTGTTCCCTCTCTGAATTGAAACAGGTATGCACGGCAGTTTGGGGATTGAATTTAGGTCTCTGCTTTTGAGAAACAGGCTGATAGTCTTGACTTAATCTCTGTTCTGAAAACCTCCTGAGAATATTACTGAGAACAGCAGAAGTTCGTACACTCTTCGAATTTTTGGACTTTGCGTACGCATGGTCGTTGTGAACGATGATGAAAGCTGTGGGCACAATGGAGGTCAGGGAGGGCTGATCCGGACCTTCGTGAAGTTGTAGTTCGCGTTCTCTGTTGCTTCTGTCCCGGATCGTAGTAACCAATCTAACCACGCTCCCGAAACGCGGGCGACAGGACTCTCTCCGCGCCAAGTGTCTGAGCTGTACTTTTTGTGGACTCCGTAGTGATTTCTCGAACTCCTTAGAGTGTTTTAAGGGTCACACAGTCGCCACATCATTTTTCAGAGCGATCTTTTCTTAAATAATCTGCCTTGGGGAGCGGGGCGAGGTCGGAGAGATGGCTGCATGATTTAGAGCGCTTGTTGGTCTTCCCAGGATCGGAGATCAGTGTTGAAAATTTCCTAGAGAGAATAAAGCAGTCACTAGGACTGGAGGCTTGCAGGTAGCCACGCCTGCTCTTCAGGAGGGCATGAACATGGGGCTATTAGGAGGATGAGAGAACTGGTCTTAAATGACAAAAGTAGTCACATAACACTCAGTAATACCTCCTCTCAGTCTCCCAATGTAGTGTTTATTTTGCCCTCAGAAAATTAACTGGATTTTGTCTTACAAAATAAAGTTGAGTCCCTCTTTCCGTCTGTCTTTGTTTTGGGGGCATCCCTAGCAGTCCCGGAACTACCTCTGTAGACCAGGCTGGTCTCAAACTCACAGAGATCCACCTGCTTCTGCCTACCAAGCGCTAGAATTAAAGACTTGCACCACCACCGCCCCATGAGTTGTGTCCCCCGCCCCTTAAGGGCACACACATCCTCGGTGAAGCTCCAAGGATGCTTTTTCTGCAGCTGCGAACTGCACGCTGTCCCATCCAGGTGGCCTTCCTTCCAGATTGCACCTTCAAATCCTCCCCATACTCCCTGATTCCAGCTGATTCTCTTTGCATTTGAAAACTTAAGGATTACTGTTTTAATTTGGGAATTTGCTAGCTAGCTGTAGGTAGCCCAGGCTGGCCTCACACTCAAAGTGTGGCTGAGGGTGACCTTGACTTCCTGATCCTCCCTCCTCCTTCTACCTCCCAAGTGCTGAGAGACAGGTGAACTGCCTCTCACTCTCAATTCAGAGGTACAGTTACTTTTACTTCCAGATAGTCTTATCGGCTTTGCCTCTCAAAGTAAGTTAAAAGGTGAAGCTAAGAGACGTTGATTACCATGATGTATTTCTGTTTCTGTTTTTAACCCCAAGAGTCGGATCAAGGGGAACACTCCTTCTGGAAGCTTGTCACCTTACCCAAGGTCGGTCTCATAGCCTGTGTCATCATTGCCCTCAGCTCCTGCTTCGGTTTCCTCGATCCGATCCTCTCTCTCTTCGTCTTGGAGAAGGTGAGCAGCCGACTGGAGCTCTGCTTTGTACAGTGGTCCTGACTATGTGCTCTTGGGCTCTTTCTTTAGGGAAAGTCTTTCAGCTATGAGAAGGGGGTATGAGCTGTGTGCTCAGGGCCTGTGTCTCCCCTCAGTGATGTTCCTTTGAGGTAGGGATGTGACTCTGCGGTCTGGGGTCTGATCCACTAGGAAGAAAGGAAGAATCTTCCTCTAGGGTCCAGTACATTGTCTCCTCCTATCGAAGACCTTGTTCACACCACTCCAGCTCTGTGAGGGCATCGCTTCTGTTTGCTTAGCTACTACACACTTTTTTCTTCTTGTGTGAATTGTAATGAGGCATTAAGAGTGCTTGTTAGGTCTTTCGATGTGATATATCCTTCCCTCCAAATGCCCACTGGGTCCACTTACTTTTTAGCTATTTGTTATAATTGGGTGTCCATGTTCTATACTACAGAATAGGAGAAAGGAACCAGGAGTCTCCATTGCTGAAACATAAATGTTGAATTCATACTAGTGAATTTGCTTTTCACTGTGACCCATCCCCTCCTGACCCCCTCCCTCCGAGAAACCAAACCTAGACTAGGCTAGAATTCAAGAACATCATTTAAGAAGCTTTGCATATGAATCTTCGTATACATAAAACTTGTGAAATACTATATGTGAAAATGCAAATAGTAGAAATCAAATCGTATGTTTAATATTAAATGCTATAAAACCAAACTTCTAGGACGTCTGATAAGTGGTCGAATTTTTTTTCCTTTTAGAAAAAAAATATTTACCCATTCCTGGTACAAAGTAAGAAAAAGTTAAGAGGAACGCGATAAAAGCTGATCTTTTTGTTTTTTTTTTCAAAGATATGTGTTCTCTATGTAACCCTGGCTATCCTAGAACTCCCTTTGTAGACCAGGCTGGCCTCGAACTCACAGAGATCCACCTGCTTCAGCCTCCTGAGTGCTGGGATTAAAGGCGTGCGCCACACTGCCTGGCGAGAGCTAATCTTGATTGTTAACTTGATAGGATGGAAAAGCGCCTAGGAAATTAGTAAAGCGTGTCTCCGGGTATTTCCAGACAGCACTGCCCAAGCAGCGAATGCCCCTACTGTGGGCAGTTCCATCCCAGAGGCTGGAGCTGGGAAGAAAAAAGGGACGAGCAGAAAAAGCCAGTTAACACAGGCATCCTCTCTCTGCTTCCTGGCTGCTTTTGTGTAAGCTCCCTGCTCTCCCACACCCTCCCCACTGCAATGCTCTGAAACTGTGAGGCAAATAAATAATCCCTTCCTTTACATTGCTCTCTCAGGTGTCCTATAGACAGCTATGGACAGCAAAACAGTACAGATACTGGGTGTTACTGATGGACTTCTGTTAATAGAGCTGGGGAAGAGGAGTGGGGAAGAGGGTGTAGCTTTTTAAAGAGAGACTTAACACGCTGCCTTAATGCAGTGTTTCTTTTCCAGTTCAATCTGCCAGCTGGATATGTGGGACTGGTCTTCCTGGGTCTAGCTCTATCCTACACCATTTCGTCGCCACTGTTTGGCCTCCTCAGTGACAGGATGCCTGTAAGTATACTGACCTATATTTGAGTTGCTTTTACACGTTTAGATCTGTAGTCACTTCTCCCAGAATTCTAAAGGTCCTTTGCTTAAAGTTGACACCTTCAATTGGCCTGATAGAAAGACTCCGGTGTCTCCCAGCCTCAGTCATTCCTCTGAGCATACTCAAGTATAGAATTCCATGTGAAGAAAAGTCTGGTGATAAAACTGCTGGAAACTATTGGACCATGGGATGATGATGGTGATGATGATGATGATGATGATGACGACGATGATGATTGTTTAAGACAGAGCCTCATATACAGCCCAGGCTAGTCTGGAACTCATTTCCCTTGCTTCAGTCTTCCCAGAGCCAGGATTACTGTCTGTTCTTGATATGACAAACCTGGCTTGAATTATACCTCCTAGAAGCTTCCTTAATGACCCAGACAAAACAAAATAAAACAAAAACCCTGATCCTAATAACAAGGACAGAGTCTTAGGCTCCTAAAAGTTTTTGGACTTGATCAGATTGTAGTACTGATAGAGGGAAATTGGCTTAGAAAGTGGGTGCAGAAGAATGACCCTTGCGAGCGAGGATCAGCCGTTCCACACCCGTCTTGAAGCGAATCCCTTCTGCTCCCTTTCAGTTTGGCCTAACCCATTTAGTCTGCATGAATGATATCAGAACTAGCACCGTTACCAGACCTCCCATGTCCATGGCGCTTCTGCAACTTTAGTGCTGAGAATTTGCATTTTTCTTTTATTAGTTTTGCATACATAAGATCTACATATTATGGGGAATTAGCTACATAAGTAACAGATAGTTAATGCTTTTTCTTTTTGAAAAATTTACCTTCATGACTGTTAAGAAATGATCTTATTTTTTATTATTTAAAACAATTTTTATTGTTTTTATTGAGCTATATATTTTTCTCTGCTCCCCTCCCTTCCTCTCCTCTCCCCTTCTACCCTCTCTCATGGTCCCCATACTCCCAATTTACTCGGGAGATCTTGTAAGACATAATCTTAAGAGTTCAAGGCCAGCCTGGTCTACTCAATGAGTTCCAGGACAGCCAGGACACAGAGAAACACTGTCCCAAAACAAGCAAACAAACAAACAAAAAAACAAAAAGCCATACAAACAAGCAAAAACAAAAGGCATAATCTTAAGCCAGATATGGTGTCAAATGTGAGTTACCCTAGTTCCTAGAAGGCCGGAGAACTAAGTGATCATTGCCAGCCAGGACTATATGACAAGACCTTGCTTCTTGCTTTAAAAAAAAAAGACATAGCCTGAATCAAACAGTTTAGAAGGAATAATATTATTAGATACCATCTTAGGCTGTTCAGACTTCCATAACAAAATACCAAAGACGTGGAGCTCAAATAATCGAGGGATACTTACTTTCCACACTTCTGCAAGATCCAGGCTCCTGTTTGGTTAAGGGCCACTTCTGATTCACAGCAACCCTGTTTGGAGGACTGGGAAATACTCCCAGAGGCTTCTTTTGTAAGGGTGTGAACTCCAGTCATGAGGGTTCTTCCTTCACTGCCAGATCACCTCTCCAAAGCTGACTTTCACATACCATCAGATCAGGCAGTAGACTAGCGTGTGAATGTTGGGGGTCAGGGGTGAGGATATATGCTCATTCACTCCATAGTAGGTACTTTGAAATAATGTCCTTTGCCTAGGTATTGGGACACATTAACAAGTTCCTCGAGGTGACTGCTTTTTAATTTCTTGCATGTTTGGACCAGATTGTGATGTGCAAAGGTTTTGTAATGTTTCCCCTTCCTGGGAAACATCTCCACTCAGCCCATCATCTGGCAAAACATCCTCCTTGCCTTAAGTTTATTGTTTGCCTATTTTATCTTAAATGTAAAGTTTCATTTGCTTCAAGGTATTTGGATTTTTGGATGTCACTGCTCTAATATTTTTTTTTAAATATTGTTTGATTGCAGAGAGTCCTTTGGATTAAACCTTGAACTCTTTCTCTTTATTAGAATCTAAGGAAATGGTTTCTGGTTTTTGGAAACTTAATCACAGCTGTGTGCTACATGCTCTTAGGACCTGTCCCCATTTTGCACATTAAAAGGTAACTTTTCTTGTTCCATGTTTTCGGGAAAATACGACTAGTAATTATTAATTTTTAAAGTGGCTTAGTACTGCAAGCACTGCTATTTAAACAATGACTTTGAGTTAGGATGGTGTTGAACGGTCTGACTGATAGCGCTTTATTTACAGTAGCTCAGCAAATCTTAACTCATGGAATCTCTATCTGTAATGGGCTTGTTTGTTTTGTTCTATTAGCTGAGGCTAGCTTTGAACTCATGTTTGTCCTGACTCTGCCTCTCCTGTTCTAGGACTATAGGCTGTACCATATTGCTGGGGCTTCTGTGTTTAAACTGCACAGTTGTTTGGAATCATTTTTACAACGGCATTCATTGCTAACAACCTTTGCTTGATACTTAAAGAGACTACAGTTTTGTGTTTGTGGTTCTTCCTTCTCACTCATCGAGAAGGGAGCCAGGTCTTTTACTGTTTCTGTGCCAGCCTCAGCATGTAGTAGTTGCTCATGAAAGCCTATTTGCTATAATTTATTTATTGAAACAAAGCGAGCGTCTTGGACATTTGCACATGCTTCTGAGATAAAGCATGGCATGATGAGAAGAGAGTGATTGCGGAGTCTTTTGGGTCTGGGTTAGAATTTTGGCTCTGTCACTGGTAGTGACACTGGTAGTGGAACTTGGACAAATCACTTAACTTTCAAGAGCCCAAGCTTTCCTGTCTATAAAAAGGAACCAGAACCAGCAAAATGGTCAGCATACTAAGACACTTGCTGTCGAGCCTGGAAACCTGAGTGAAAACTCCAGGCTTTAGCTCCAGGAGCTACATGGCTGAAGGAGAGAACTGATTTATGTGTGCTGTCCACTCATCTACACACACACGCGCGCGCACACACACACACACACACACACACACACACACACACACACACACACACTGTGGCATACCTCCCCTTCAAAATAAAGCAATGTAATTTTTGAAGGGAACTAAAGTGAATGCATGCATGACAAGAATTACATACGTTGCATGTCTGTCAGGCCCTTAGATGGAATCAAACACAGAGCCACTGTCAGTTTCTAGTCTCTTCCTTTGTTCTCTCCCCTCTTTGCCATTGTTTACTGGAATTGCAAAATGAAAAGATTAGCTGAACAACAGCATTGGTGTTGGAAGGACTTTGTTATGGCGGGAGGGTCGGCTGGTTACAGATGTGTAATATGTATGACTAAACACATGTATGGGAATCGTGGGACCAAAAGTGACTTCAAATGATGCAGGAGTTGCTTTTGCTGCAGAGGTGGCAGGTGCTAACATGAGCTCCCACTGAACAGAACGGGACAAGATGGAAACATGAGCCAATCGAGTCTACTATCTGTGAAGCTAACTTCTCTGCGATCCTGCTCTCCTTGGTTTTAAGTTTGTGTCTCTTAAAATACTAACGTTTTCATTCCCTCCACAATGCCTCTGCAGTCAGCTCTGGCTTCTGGTGCTGGTGTTGGTTGTAAATGGCTTCTCTGCTGGAATGAGTATCATCCCGACTTTCCCAGAGATGCTCAGTTGTGCATAGTAAGTTTCCGGGCTGTTTGACAAGCTCCCTCGTGATGGGTATGGTGGCTGCAGTGGGGTGGGGTAGGTAGCAATCAGTCTCACCTCACTTGTTCAGTCCTATAGAATGTTAGATATTTGCCCAACAGTAAATCTTCGTGATTTCATAGCATATAAACGTTGTGACATCAATCATATAAGTAATAATGACATCATACTGATGCTTGGCTTCTTGTATATCTCAGGTAAGGGTTGTGTGTGTTTGTGTTTGTGTGTGTGTGTGTGTGTGTGTGTGTGTGTCTGTGAGTGTGTGTGTGTGTGTGAATGGTTTTAAAAGTCTAAAACCAAATGGAGAAGTTTCTTTCCTTTGGCAGGGAGGAGACTCAGACAAGAGCACAGAGTGACCGTTCATCTGTCACTTGGCCATTGTTCCTTTGCATATGGGCATGTTCATCAACTGCTCCAGGTCGCATGTTAGTTTTTATTTGAGAACTGGAAGGCTCTTAGAGTCTCCAGATTATGTGTGGTTTATCTTCATGTTTCTATGGCTATGCTGCGGCTTCTCAATAATGCATAGAGGACAAGGAGCAGCCTTTTCTTTGAGCAGCCTTTGTGCTCTTCATCCTATTTTAAGAATTTCCTAGTTCATTATGTATTTCATTAGAATTTAATGCAAGTGAATTATGATTGTTGCTATTATACAGATGTAGTAAAATTAGGTTATTTTGTAAAAATGCCTTCAAATTTGATTTACGTATTTTGTTTGTTTTTTCATTTTTGAGATTATGATATAATTGCATTTTGCCCTTCTCTTTGCTCTCTCAAAACCCTCCCATGTACCCCTCTACACTCTCCAAATTCATGACCTCTTTTTCATTGTTTTTGCATACATATATGCATTTGTATAAATATATATATTCCTAAATATAATGAGCTCAGTTAGTGTTCTATTACTTGCATGTATGTTTTCAGGGCTGACCATTTGGCACTGGACAAACAGTTGGTATGCTCTTCCATAGGGAGGCCACTACTCCTGTGCCCAGCTTTCTTCAGTTGCCTATAATCTTTGTGTAGGGTTGATGTTTAATTTGTGCTGGTGACTGAGCCCAAAGCCTTGGGCGTGCTAGGCTCACACTCTATCGATGAGCTTCTTCGCTAGTTCCCATGTTAGTGTTTGTGTTAGGAATGGAGTGCTTTTGTTTTTACTTTCTTCAGATTATATGTGCTTTATCTTCACGTGTCTGTCAAACAATTTTTCCTTCTCATGATGATATGTCCTCGTCTCTCTGCAGTGAGAACGGGTTTGAAGAGGGAATAAGTACTCTGGGACTCGTATCTGGTCTTGTCAGCGCCATGTGGTCAGTTGGGTAAGTGAATTCATTTGCATCCAAGACATGGAAAGTGCTCTCTCCTCATCACAGATGGAAAACTGGAACACCGAGAAGGTGTGTGAGGTTATCTAAGGTAAACACTCATTTAGGGCAGAGCAAGAATTCCAGTTTACAACTCGTGGCTCCAAAATCAAAACCTAGTGTGTCAGCAGACTTCATACCAAACTAAGATACCTTTATGAACCTTGCTTTGAGCAATAATTTAAAAAAATTCCTTTAACAGAAGCAGATCTCACACTTTTAAAATCAATTCCTTCATTTCTTTATTGATTCTGTTGCTTGCCTGTTTGCTTATGTATTTACTTTCTGCTAGTTCAGGAGCACGCTGTACAGTAGCAATAGCACACATACAGAGTCAATAGCTATGCACTCCACTGACTCAGATACTAGGAACAGAGAGAATAGTGGGCCAGTGAGACGGCTGAGCAGGTAAGCACCTGCCACACAAACCCTGAGACCTGGGTTCAATCCAGGGGACCCACGTAATGATGGAAAGGAAAGGAAAGGGAACCCATCCCATAGGGTTGTCCCCTGACTTTCTGCCTGTGCTGTTGCATGTACCTCTACCCACAAAGTAAAAACAGTCTTTTAAACGTGTTTTTATTGTTATGTAGCTCACCGACTTCCCAGCAGCAATTCCGCTTTAACATAGTCTAATAACCATTGTTCTTTCTTTCTCTTCTTCTCTCGCCCATCTCAGCACTGGATCTGGGGATCAAGGCTGACCTTACACACTGGGGGCAAGTGCTCTACTACTGAGCCACACCCAGGCCTAGAACTCTTACTTATGCCCAGAATCCCCCTCTCTGTTTAGCCTTTATTGTTTTAGTTTAAGGGTGCCATACTTCTTTATAAAGTCGTTCTTGCACGGTGAGATATTCATCCATTCTTCTTTCCACCGTTAGTGCTTTCATGGGACCAATGCTGGGCGGATTTCTGTATGAGAAGATTGGTTTCGAGTGGGCAGCAGCTATACAAGGTCTTTGGGCTCTGATAAGTGTGAGTAGCCATGGCTTTGTGTGAGTTTTCTTCCATTTCCTCTCACTTTGGAGATGCTTGTCTTGGAGGATTTACTCTAACAGTGCATTTCATTGTTTTAAAGGGACTTGCGATGGGCTTATTTTATCTCTGGGAGCACTCAAAGACAAGAAGAAGGTATGGTCAACTTCCGGATTTTTTTTCCTCTTAGAAGAAGCTAGCTCATGAGAGCAGAAAAGAAATTTTATCTTCCAGTCCTTCTTGCTGCTAGATTTCTGGGGATCCTAAGATCCCTTGCTTGACAGGTAGGGCCAAGGAGGTGCTTGGGTGGAGATGTAGGTACTCAGTGTTTAGTCTTTTTTCTGGGGGATGGGGTTTGAGAAAGTTTCTTTGAGTAGCCCTGGCTGTCCTAGAACTTGCTCTGTGGACCAGTCTGGGCGAACTCAGAGATCCATCTGCCCCACCCTCTGAGTGCTGGGATTAAATGCCTGGGCCTGGCTTTGTATAGTTTTCTTAAGACGATCAGTACAATTTTTTTTGTTTTTGTTTTGTTTTATTTTATTTTATTTGTTTGTTTGTTTCTTCTCATTATAGTTCTAAAGCTCAGAATCTCACTGGCACAGAGGAGGAACGAGCTGTTCTCTTGCCCAATGAAACCTAGCCTTGCCAACTCTGGATACAGCATGGGAGACGGGTGCCTTGAGCCATGACAGCGGCTGCTGGAGGAGTTTTCTTTGTACTGTGCAGAGCTCCGTGATTCCTCCACTCACACCCTGGAAGTGTCAGGCTGCTTTTACATGAAGCTGCTCCGGCTGCACTTTGTGTAGCTCGAAACATCTACGAGAAAGGGAAAACCAACAAGCTTGGTGTTTCTAAATGACCCACCTTGCCCCGAAGGTGCTGTTATTATTGGCTCTCTTTGGCTTTCTTATTCCTGCGTTTTTCATTCTAAATTCGTCAATTTGACACATGCACCTCTTAAAATTATTACGCGGAGAAATGAAGCTACTTAATATGCATTGAACATATACAAAAGAATGTCTGATTTTTATGAAGTCACTTTTGAAAGATGTGCTTTCTCTGCACTGAGATTTTTATACCTATTTCAAAGGAAAAATTCCTGCCTGCCATGTGAAAACTCTAAAGTGTTCCTTGACTTTCGGGTTTTCTAAAAATGTATCTGTGGAAGGTGCAAAAAAGAAAAAAAAATGATACATCTAGTTTCCATTTTGTGGCATTTTCAGTTATGATCTGTATTTATAAACATTGCTTGGCGTAACATTATTCCTTTCCAGTCTCAGTAGATCCTTGTTCTAGTCCCACGACTTATGTTTGTTTGTTGTGTTAATACTTCTCATACTCTTGGAAGGTGTGTCCCATCACGAGGCGGGGCAGCGCCCCCACCCAAGGATGATTGCCACCTGCAGGCTGGAGGAATACTCCCCTGACCTTAATCCTAGCTGCTACTTGAAGTGAGAATATCAATGTTGTACCTCCTGATTAATTTTCTTATTGTAGCAGTTACATTTCTTTTCTAAGAGAATAAATGGTTTTTGTCTATCCATTGTATTCATTCAAAACTCTCCGTTTAAACAACGTCTCAAGTATCCCAGGTTGATACCTGTATCAGTAGGAGTCACTGTGTAGCTGGGGATAACTTTGACCTCCTAATCTGCATGCCTGTAATATCCCGAGTGCTGGGATTAATATGCATCCATCACCATACAGGGTACTGAATATTGAACCCAGGGCGCTGAACGTGCTGAATTGTATTCTCGACGTACTTTTTGATTCCTTTTTCTCAGGATCAATCCTGCATAGACAGGTACCAGGGACATAATCTATGCCTTTAAGCAACATACACCAAGCAGATAGGGGAAACAGTACTTGATTACCAGGATTAATATCTTGTAGTAATGCTCAATAAAAAGCAAATCATGGTATAGCAGAACAACTGCCTGGTATTGGTTATGCATGGCAACTAACTTGCCCTCTTCACGGAAGTGATTGCTACCTCTGAGCGGAGATCTGAAGTGAGGATGAGACACTCACGGCAACAGTCCACTGGCAGCATCAGAGATGAGGACATGGTCCACTGGCTGGAGTCTGGTATGCAGGGGGTTGGGCTGGATGAGATAGCCAGCTTGACAATGAGGGCCCCTAGGATGGTTGCCCCATAGTCAAGTTCTCTGAGATTGTGGGTACAGTGGGTAAGGATGCCAGCAAACAAGGATGGAGATGAAAGGAAAACTCTGAAAGGAAGTAATGGTTTGGGCCACGGAGGTTGCTTTGGCGATCAAGAGAAAAGAAAATATTGAGAAGTGGAGATGGCAGGATTGCTGCTGTGGGGGAGGGGGCAGATTCAAAGATGACTCTCAGGGTTGGTGTTTTACTGTAATGGATGACTGCATCTCTTAGTGAGATGGGGAAGGAATTGAGCTAAGCATCTTAAGGGGTCCAACTAAAACCACAATGAGCAGTTGCTGGTGGTGGTGCATACCCTTAATCCCAGCACCCGGGAGGCAGAGGCATGTTTATCTATTGAGTTCGAGGGTAGCCTGGTCTATAGAGCGAGTTCCAAAACAGCCAGGGCTACATGGAGAAACTGTCTCAAAATCAAAACCAAACCAAAACAAAACAAATCAAGGAGCATGTCCCAACATAACCAATCAAGGTTTCCTAAATACAATCAGCTAAGAAGAGGGAGGTACCTTCATTTGCATACAAAAGAAATAATCCAAAGACTACTCCCATAAAAATCATCTTCACTGAGAGTGCTACCATTTGTCCCAATTTATGAAATAAAGCATAGCTCAAAAGCAATATATTTTAAGAGAAAATAAAATGCCTAACCAAGAACACCGAAGTCTCAGCTTTTGGGTTGCCTAAGATGATGAGCTTGCTAGAAATCATTGACAACTTCAAAAAAATATTGATTTTTACTTAATGTTTCTCTCTCTCTCTCTCTCTCTTTCTCTCTCTCTCTCTCTCTCTCTCTGTGTGTGTGTGTGTGTGTGTATTAAATGCCTATATATATATAAATATATCCTGCTGAGTCCATTTAATCTCATTTGTATGTCTATGACTTTGAGGCTGACCATTGGTACTGGGTAACCAAGGAGAGCGCTCATCCCTGGAGGACATTGTTTCTCCTGCTCGCCGCATTCCTTAGTTGCCCTGCCTGTAGTTCCCTTTGTCACTTCTCCTTCCTCCTTCGCTTCTGTCCCCACAAGTCCTCCATTCCAGCTTCTGTGTCCTTTTGTGGGACTGTGTCCTGTATATTTTATTCGTTGCTTGCATGATGGGGTTGGGGTTATTGACAAAGACAAATCAACAGAGGATACAGCAGTGAAGAATAAGACTCCTCCTCCCCCAGCAACCATTAGCTTCTCCTCCCCTTCAATCACAGTTTCCTAGCAATATCCAACAAACACCAGATTCGTACAAATTGTGGCAAAATGGAATACCAAGCCAGCTAACCCTGTTACATATTTTGATGAAAAAATACGAGTAGGCCTTTTATTTTAAGAGAAATAAAGCCACGAAAACAATGTCTTTTCTTCTTCCTAAACTTTCGGACCTAGGCTCTGCTCTTCTCTGTTGTTTTCTGTTCTGCCACCATTATCACTTGTTGGCTTCTGCCTCCCTGTCTACTTGTCTGATAAAGATCTCAGCCACTGACTGGTGGGTGAGCAAGGTCACCCTCTGGTGGACCAGGGCACACATTATAAAGCAGTCCAGGCATTGGTCACATTTCTCTTTGTATGTTCAGAGGGAAGGAGTCATTCTGGCCTACTGTTTAACGACAGTCTGTCACTGGAGGGGAAGCATAGCAGAGTGTCTTAGTCAGGGATTTTGTTGCTATGATGAAACACCATGACCAAAAACAGCTTGCGGAGGGAAGAGTTTATTCTGCTTACCATTCTGTATCACAGTTCATCATCAATGGCAATAAGGGTAGGAACTCCAACAATACAGGAACCTGGAGTCAGGAGCTGGTGTAGAGGCCTTGGAGGAGTGCTGCTTACTGGCATGCTCTTTGTGGCTTGCTCACCCTACTTTCTTGTAGAATGTGGGACCACCAGCCCAGCCGTCACCCACAATGGGCTAGACTCCCTCTCCCCATCAACCACTGATTGAGAAAAGCCCTACAGGTTTTCCTACAGCCTGATCTTACAGATGCATTCTCTCAATTAAGTTCCCTCTTCAGATGACTCTTGCTCATGTCAAATTAACAAAAATACTAGCCGGGACACAGAGTTCTTCCAGGTAGGGTTATGCAGCCAGAACTCCCAACATCTCTATGGATAAAGAAGCAGCGGGTAGAGCTAGCTATCATCCCCTCATTCATTCCCTTCTTTTCTATTCAGTCCAGTTCCCTAGGCCGTGGGAGGGTGCTGCCCACATTCAGGTGGGTCATCTGGCCTTGGACATCCTGTCTGGAAAGAGTTTTACAGGCACACCCCAAATGTATGTCTCAGTGACACCCTGGGGCTTTTTAATGCAATCCACATGAAAAGGACACAGTCATCATGCAAAGTCATCTCCTGTAATAAGTGTGGCTTTGCTGCTCCATCTTCCTAGAAGACAAACACCACTCGAGGCTGTGGTGGGAATCTCTCTGGAATAGGCATTCCAACACCAATGAGTGTGTAAGAGAACACCCCAACTCTAATGAGTGTGCAAGGGAGCACTCTAACACCAATAAGTGTGCAAGGGAGCAATCCAGCTACAATGAGTACACAAGAGTGAGATGTCACTGATGGACCAAAGCTGGGACAGCTCCTGAAAGGCCTTCATCTCGGATCCACTCTGCACCCTCTTTATCTCTGGGCAGTGCTTGGCCTGTTCCATTTAAAAAGTTCTGCTTGTTTTCTAAGCTGGGCCTGCAGATTGGGGGTGGTACCACATGTGTGAGTACCAAGTTAATTCTCTGTGGAGGCTGGGAAAGTTCCTACTGAGCCTGAAAAGTACACACCATAACCAGCAAGTGTTGGGAGCCTCTGTTAGGTGGAATGTCGGTAAAGTCCATTGCTAGATGTTTAAATGGGTAGGACCCCTGTTTTTGTGTCGGGATGAGGACCTGGGTCCCTGCTTGAGGCGACTGTACAGCATCACAAGGCAGATGGAACCCCGACTATACAGTGTCACAAGGCAGATGGAACCCTGACTTGTACAACGTCACAGGGCAGATGGGACCCCCGACTGTACAGCGTCACAGGGCAGATGGAACCCAGTGACTGTCCAGCATCACAGGGCAGATGGGACCCCGACTGTACAGCGTCACAGGGCAGATGGAACCCCGACTGTACAGTGTCACAAGGCACGTAAGAATTAAGTTTGGGCTGTAGACAAAGTTTAGAATCTTTGTGTTAATATCAGAAAGCTACACGTTTACAGTTAAGAAAGGACTATAAACAAACTCAACAGTCATATCCACTTTGACCTTAAGCATGACTTGTTATTTAACCTTCCTATTTGAAGTCTACCTGTAGAAAGCAGCATTAGCTCTGTGTACACAATCATCATAGGTGAATAAAGTCAGTTTTCTCCGAGCTCTAAGCACAGTGGCTGAAAGACTCCAGCCTCAGAGCTGAACGACTGCTTTCTCTCCGTGAGGCCCACGAGTCACCTAAATTAGGGGAAAAGTAGACGCAAAAATATGCTTTTTATAGAACACATGGTCTCGGTCTCTAAAGTCAGAATATCACGGGTAACTTTTTATATTCTCCCCACCTCTTTCTCCTTTCTCTCTACAAATATTCTACAATGCTTCTTTTCTTCTAATAATAAAAAATGACAAATTACTCAATAGAACAAAACAAAGTTAAAGATTTTAAATGTAATAATTGAAACATTTGACATTCGTTGGGATATAATTTATTTTTTCACATGAGTAGAGTTATTATTATTAATATTACTATTACTATTATTATTATTTTGGATTTTCAACATAGGGTCTCATTTTGCCAAAGCTAGCCTCAGACTCATTATAATGAGCAAAAATGACTTTGAACTCATGACCCCCCCCAAGCACTGAGATTACAAGTGTGTACAACCCTTCTCAGCTATTTCCTATTTTAAAAAAGATAGAGTTGTATTATATTTAATTTTTCTCCACTTTTTCTTTTGGTTTTGTGAGATAGGATCTCACTTTGTACATTAGGCTGGCCCAGAACTCACTAGGAGGCTCATTTTATTCTTAAACTCAAAGTAATCCTTTTGCCTCAGGCTCTGGAGTGCTTGGAACACGGAAGTCTTACACCACCAGTCCTAGCTTTGAGCTGTTTTTCCTGAATAATTTTTAGTAAAAAGCAAAAGATTTATACGATCTGAAGAGAAACCAGAGTATCCCTGAATGATTTTTAAAGATTCATTTATTCTAATTTCATGTGCATTGGTGTTTTGTCTGCATGTATGTCTGTGTGAAGGTGTTAGAGCCCCAAGAACTGAAGTTACAGACTGTGTGAGCTGTTATTTGGGCGCTGGAAATTGAACCTGAGTCCTTTGGAAGAGCACATAGTACTCTTAGCCACTGAACCATCACTCCAGCCCCTCCT